ATAAATCTGAGTCAAGAAATAACACCAGGACTGAAAATCCAGACTTGCCTACAAACACAAGACTTAACTCCCAGCAAAATGCACATGACCATATGTTCTTATCTGCCAAGCTTTTCCCCTTTCCCCCTCCTAAACATCACCATTAATTTTAATGTTTTTTCTTTTTAAAATTCTGATTCAAATACAGCAAAGTGTTGCATGGTCTTGTCCGCACACATATGTTATATATTAGTATTCCTGTGAAAGGATTTTGTTCTTTACTACTAGCAGGACAAGAAAGCCTTGAAAACAGGTTTGCTTATAGTGTCCAACTTGGAGGGATCTAAATGTTATACATTAAGTGTTATATATCCATGTTCTTCACTTTTAAATTAAGCTACTTGAACCCAGGCAGAAGTATAAAAATATAAATGAAGCAGTTCCTGAAATTAAAACTTTCCTGTTAGACAGGTCACTTGACCAACCCTTTCAAAGGCATCAAAAGGGGAGCCTGTAAGGGCTCCAAAAAGGTTTCAGGAGGGTTTAAGGCAGCAGACAAGGCTCTGGCTCTGGCAGTGCTTCCTCAGCACCCGGTATCTTCCCATTCACTATCAGAGCTCTGGGCCTTGCCATGAAAGTTCCCCTTCATTCACCTCAAGCACAGTCAACCGGATTAGCCCGGAGACACTTTCATCCTCACATTAAGCTCTGCAAGGTCACTTGCCCGGTACAGTTTTGGGTGTGCCTGTGTGGCCACACTGGCTGGCCAAGTCACGTGGGGTTTCTGCTGGACAGAGCCCCGTTGCTGGAGGCGATGTTGTGGCCAGCTAACAGGCAGGCATCTGTCCGACTGCTGCATCCATCATCCACCGGGGGCACAGGGATGATCCACCTGCACTCACCCCAAAAATGCCCTGCTCGGAACAGACTAGACTCCGTCTTTCACCAAAGAGGGAGAAACAAACACTGAGCTGCATCTCAGAAGCCTATGCAGCAGAACCTGGCTTGAAACCAGAAAGTTTCTGGCCTGAATCTGACCCAGGCTCATTAGTCTTTAGCTATTTCTGTCTAGCCTGGAGCACCTCACAGATGAAGGATATTCAGAGCCCAGACAGTCTTCAATGGAATTTTGGATGCTTAAAACTGTAATCAGTCCAACGGGTTGCTGTTGCAACTTTTGCTGTGTTAAAAGTCAAGTATTGCAAGGACAGGTATTGGGAGCCAAAAATCCTGTCTCAGTTAAAAACAAACAAGGTCTGTTAAATTCTGTTGACCTTTTACTTGGAACCACTGGACCTACAAATATGCTTCTTTAATATAGGAAAACTTGGATTCTGATGCAATTGTGTTACTCCAGAAGCCCAGCCTAGGGCCACAGTACTGTCACCAGCAGAAGTGACTCAGTGCTCTGCTAGTGCCACACAGTCCTTCTCCCTGCTGCAGCAACTACAGCAACAACTTAGGTTCCCAACCTGGGGCACTACACAATCACAAAGGCAGCAGTGAGAGCACAAAGGAGGATACGGCACAGCATAGAGGCAGGTGTCCCTGGCTGGGATTATATCCTTCAGTCTCGCAGTCAGCTTTTGCTAGCTTAGAAAAATCCTAAGGCTGTGGGCAAGTCAGTGTGAAGATGCTTCTGGTCACACAGTCACAGGATAGTTAAAATAGTTCTCTGAATGTCATCTGGTCTATCCCCCTGCTCAAGCAGATCACCTAGAGAAAACTGTCCAAGGACCATATTCCAGACAGTTTTTGAGTATGGCCAAGGATGGAGAACCTACAACCTCTCTGGGCAGCCTGTGCCAGTGCTTGGTGCGCAGTGACAAATTGTTCCCTGATGGTCGGAGGGAGCCTCCTGTGTTTCAGTTTGTGCCCATCACCTCTTGTCCTGTCACTGGGCACCACCGGACAGAACCTGGCTCTGGCCTCTTTGCACCCTCCCTGCAGGTATTTATATACATTGATGGGAGCCTCCTGAGCTTTCCCCAGGCTGAACAGTCCCAGTTCTATCAGCCTTTCGTCATGGGAGGGATGCTTCAGCCTCTTCACCATCTTAGTGACTCTTCACTGGACTCTCTCCTGTAGCTTCATACTGGTGCTCTGGCAGCCTAATCCAGCTGGCAGATAATGATACCATGCTCCCTTGTCTGCTCTGGAAATCTGGAAAGAAGATGGTATGCAGGGGAGCATATGTCCCTACCCAAAACAGGAGTTCTTTTGATCAATCAGCATGTAAAGAAGATTCTGTCTCAGAGTGCTGTATCTTGTGTTTGACTGACTTCTTAGGGAGCAGCTGTTAACTATCAGGCACCACCTAAATGTAAAATAACTCCATCAGAGACTAAAAAAATTTTCTGTCTTCCCTGGGTAGATGTTTATTCAAAAAGACTCAACATACTCGCTATAATTTATTTTTACAGCAGGGACACCAAATCAAGACAGTTAAAAGGCTAAGTCTCCAATGCTCTAGATGCTATGTAAATAAATGCTAAATAATTGTGGTTCAATGTTCAGCAAGAAAAACAGCTCTTGGTTTTTTTAAAATTAAATTCTGATTTTATCTAAAATTCTAGACGATTCTGATTGTTTATTTACATGAAAAGGTATCCCGCTTGTTAAGTGCCAAAGCCTTACTCTGAAACTGTATGATTAACACCAGTATTTCCAAAACCTACGCATCAAATAGGTTTATTTGACTAATGACCTAAGTCCCTCAACCAGCGATACACAAACTGAGCTAACCAGGCACATTCTTGCTGTACATACAAACACTCTTCCAAATAACTGAGATAATGGCTGTGAGAGCACCAGTCAGTACAGCCCAGAGCCATGCACTCCCAGTGATCCCTGACAGCTTCCTGTGTACTGCAGGGTCAGGTGACACACCAAAACGAACAGCTCCCACTCATGCTTAGAAGCAAGGAGCTGCAGGTGAAAGCTCTGTCATCCCATTATCGGATCTCCCTATGCGGGCAGCAGGGTTTGTGGGAAGAAACCTGTACCTCCACCTCTGCTGTTTCAAACCACAATTTGGCTTCTTGGTATAATCCCATCTTTACCACCAATTTAGCCCATTAAACCCAACTAGAAGACACAAGACAGAAGGCACAGGTCCATGCTCCCTTCTGCCAGCTGGGAAGAGGGTGATGATGGGCAGCAGGACAGAGCAGCACCACTTCAGCCACCAGAGCTGGGCTAGAGTGGGCTGGCCCCTCAGGGCAGATGTCCTCCCACACCAGGACAAAACATGGCTGTTTGCTTTAACTACATTTTTTACATGGTTTTGGACTTCTCTGCACTGAGCAATGATGCTGGTTGTCAGTAAGTTATCCACTGTGATCCCTCAGGATTTCTCTTCATGGTATTATTAGCTTAAGTCTGACTCCAGTTTTTATTCGCAGGCAATAACCCTCCCTGAACAAAAGTCTCCAAGTTTAATAGCTGGCACTTCCACTGTGAGTGTCAGTGCTACCAGGGACAGCAATGCTGTCCTTGGGCATCAAGGACAGGTGCATCACTGCTTCAATCAGGATGATGCAGTGGCAGCAGATCCACCTTCCTGCCAGTCCAGGGATAATCGAGCCCTGCTACCTGTGTCCAGCCTCCCAACCCATCCCTGAGTCTTTATAATAGATAAAAATAGTACACAAAAAAACCTTCTACTGACCTGCTTATTTTTTGTAAAAGTGGAGTATTGTCCACTTGCTGCAGATGCTAGTCTGCCTGTTTAAAAAAAAATTATCCCACTGGCAGACAACCAATATATGAGAACATCTACAAAGAAGCTGCTACAGTTTATCGGCAGTAATCCATGGATTAAGGTCATTAATAGCACTCGATGACATACTGCCATGACTGCAAAGGTGCTCTTCTGGCTTACAGGACATACAGAACATAACCCCCTCACAAACATTTCCCCTGAGATACTTTCTTCTAAATCTTCAAAAGAAGAGAAGAAATGAGAAAAAGCAGAAGGAAGATATCTAGCACAGTATCTTGCACTGTGTTAAAAAAAATAGTTATAATGAAAATAAACAACCCTGAATTTTCTTCTCTTTCACACTGATGTTTTCACAATAAGAGTTCTTATTAACTGAAATTTTGATCCTCAGAGCTAAATTTAAAAAGCAAGCCAAGACATTCTCCCATGCCCAGAAGATAAAGCCACAACTAAAACTTTCAAAATAAAATCTGTAATGCTCAATTCTGCTCTTTAATTATTTATATGAAATAAGCTCTTTCTTTCTGTTGACACAAGAACACAAATGTATCGTCATCAAAAACACTGTGTACTCCTCAAATCCCATGGGGTCGTTAATCTTCTTTTATGCAGTACATGAAGTATTTTCACAGAATCTTTAAAACAGTTTTCCAAAGTGTGCCTGATGTTACTAGGAAATCAGAAGAAGCTGATGACCTAACAACATAATTGCTAAATATCCTCCAAAGTAGAGAATCCCTTCACTCTGTTCTAAACTTATGCTCCTATCTGCACTACCCATACATGTAATTACCAATGCTATTAATTTATCTGAGTCTCCAAAACCAAAGGTAAACAATCAGTTGTGTCAAAATTGAAGTAATAGACTTTTCTTATTTCTGTTGATCTAAATGAAAGAATCTGCACTCTTTACACATGATTTGTTTCATTAGGACTCTGGGAATGGCCTAGTACTGTGCCACTGTGTATTTTCATTTGCCATGAAACAATTATAATCCATAAAATGTACTCAGGAGAATACAATAGTCCTACCAGCTGGAAGCAATCCTGTATTCCACAGTCATATGCAATTTCTGTAAACAACACAGTGACACTTGAAAAAAGAAATCCTTAGAAAGAAATCTTAAAAACTTAAATAAACAAACATTATGACAGACAACATTTGTTTTAATATATATCTTACCAAGAACAAGCCACTTTCTGATTAACCTGGTTTAGTTGTAACTCATCATTTCACATTTTACTTTCAGTACGATGTAGCAGCATTTTTACTACACATGCAGTTTCTTTTCCTTACCTTTAAGGAATCAAAGCAGGCAATAACTCTTCCATTTTCAACCTGGCAACTTTTAGGGGGGTGTGCAAATTTGCATTCTTCATCAGAGCGTGAACAAGTTCCCCTCTGAAACTGCCTGCACACTTCTAACGTCAGCCATTTTGTGTCTCTTACTGGAGTAACATTCAAAGCCATGATGGAAAGTTGATTTTGAACTTGTAGGCTGCTGTCAAGTGAATTATGCTGAGGAAATTTCCAAAACAAATGAAGGAGAGAGGGGAAAAAAAAGAAAAATCAGAAAAAAAACCCTTCAATTCCAATTGAAAAGAAAGTTTAAAAAATGCAAAACAAAACAGTAGGGAACGATTAATGATGTCCAACACACACAAAGCAGAATAAGCAGAGAAAGTTTATCAGCAAGCAGTCACTCATCAATCATTAAGTCCCACTTGTAGACTTTTGGCTGGGCAAATGCATGCTCAGTTGCATTTCTATCTGTAAAACACGTGGGTTTGTTGATTGTAATCACGGATGCACCAGTTTTAAGCCAAGGTCCATCAATGCAACGGCACTCCTTGATAGAATAGCAGTTCTCTGACGGTTGCTTGCCAGTATTGATTGCACGAGAAAAGCAATGCAGTCATTTGTTCATGTCCCAGGAATAATAATAATTCTTCTTTTTCTGCTTTCAGTTTCCCATCAACTAATTGGCAAATGGAGACAGCTGAGGTATCTTCCACCACGTGTAAGGTGAAGGCAATGTCTGGCTGGCAAAGACAGGATTTTGAGAACACGGGCGTAGCAGTCCTCGCTCATAGAAGTGACTTGGCAAAGGCACTTTTTAAGTCACTGACCTGACAAAACAAATACAGCATCAGTTCACGTGCAACTCATTCAAATCAACATTACGAAACCTATCGTCCCTTTTTATCAGATTATAAACATACAGCCAATGCTCACTTGTATTTCTTCGGAAAAAAAAAAAATCATCCTCCTTCATGAAGTTACATGAGACTAGGGAAAAACCAGTTGAAACATGTACTGCAGTAGTATTCTAGGCAGGAATCCAAAAGTTGGGAATGATTTAAATAGATGAATGTGGCAGACACAATAATTAGGCACGCTGGTTGTGAAACAATTCAATCTAAAGTGTTTAGTCTCCAAAACAATATACAAGAACCTGTTTCCATGAATTTATCACTTGGCCCTTTAAATTGTGTTACTACATTATAAGTTGTTACTCATTATTTGTTCTTCCTTAGAAATGAGGATAGTAGCATTCTGTTCAGATTTTTTTGTCTCTCCCTCTATTCCTCAAGGGAAAAAAAACAAAACAAAAAACTGTCATTCAAAAATTACAGGGAAAAAAAACTTCCATATTCAGACAATAGAGTTAGTTTCCCTGTTAATCTAGAGGCTGTTTCATAAAGGCTTCATGAAAAGGCTCAACACTGTCATCATCCTCTAATGAGTCCTTTCTAATATGAAGCAGTCTTTATCTAAATATTCCTTTAATTTACTTTTGTGTAGCTCTACAGATACATCATTCAGCATCAAAACTCAAGACGTAAATATGGCACTTAAGCTATTTGGGTATTTCATAGATAAACAGATCTGAAAATCAAAGAGTTAGATATTATAAATATTTTTAATCACTAACTCTATTTTATATGCAGACAGTAAAGCCATGGACATGGTGTTTCCTTCTATTCAGCTTCAAAGGAACACAACTTCTACTTTGCAGATACCAGCCAGAAACATTTGATAGATTATTTCTGAGCAAGAAAAAAGAAAGGGGGACAGACTGGAATAAGAGAGATTTTAAAATGAATCAATAAAAATAGCTCTAAAAACACTGTCAGCTTTTCCGTGCCAGAACAATTACCATTCTGTGCTTGGATTCATCTGTCTTAATTGAAGTCAGTATTGCTAGTAGTGTGAGTAAGAATTACTCACATACAGTTTCAGGATCAGATCCCAGTTCTGACTTTTAGGTCTTAACATTAAAAGGCTTTTCTATTATTAACCAATGCTACCAGAAAGGGTTTTACTATGTGACCAATACTTACACCAAAATTTGCTACTGCTAGCATGAATAAAGGAAATGCAATGCTAATTGCTCAGAAATTCAGTTTCAAGTCCAATGTGCAATAAGATGGGTCTGGATGACACTCAGCTAGCTTCACCCAATCATAAAGTATAACGAGGTGTAAAAGAATTAGTACAATTTTAAATAATTCTATGCAATTATCATACAGTACATGAATTAAAAATTCCTCAAATTAAATATTCCATCAATGTTGTGCAACAGCATCGATGAAGAGTAAGATTAAGCTGAAAGCATACAAAGAGGTGAGAAAATACTTCTAACTGATGAAAAGGAAAGAGAGGAGGAAAACCAAAGAGAGCCTCTCCACAAGAGCTTGTTGAGCTGATAGCTTGTTGGGCTGATGATTTAGCTGGCTAAATGTAAAAGAGAAAATACTCTCCCTGGAGCCACACATTCCAATTCAGAAATGTCAGTAATGGTTTTCAGTAACAGATGCAGGAGATAGACTGAAAGTTTGGAAGAAGGGTAAATGTTATACAGCACACTGCTGAAAGTCACAAGTAGTAATACACTGCAGGGCTGCATACCACTAAAATTGACAAAGTTGTTTCTCAAGTAGTAGGTGTTAAGACTGAAAAAAACCAGACATCGCACATGGCAGCAAAGCAAATAGCACACAATATAGAAATTGCAGTAGGCATGGCTTAAAAAAAAAAAATGTGCACAGCAGGATCACATAGGAGATTCATGAGACTGCAGCAAGAATTCATACCAAAAAGCATTTGAGGGTGGAGGGTAGAAGAGTGAAATACAGTGTCATCCTATTTCTTATCTTCTTGCTATATTAAGATCTTCTAAAGAAAAGGAAGTACAAAAAAGTCGTCTCAAAAATTCACTTCTTGTCAAACATAACAGCACTATCTGATTTCTCAAGAGTCATCAAGTGCTTCAGGAGTTTCTACTGGTGTCAGAACTGAGGCCCTTCTGAAGAAAGCCATGCCTTCAGCAGGAGGCAAGTGCAAACACGATCAGATTAGAATAATTTGGAGTGCTTCATCCCTACCATTCACATGACCTACGGGTTCTTGACCACATCCTAAGCAGCTGGCATACCTCCTCTGCCCATCACCTGCACCAGGAGGGTGAAGGAAGAGATGACACCTTGAAAGTTTGAACATGAGGGAAGCAAAACAAGGAGAAGGGAGAAAAAAGACGTTTGGGAAATAAAATTATGGAAGGAGCCAAGGAAAGTAAAATTCAACATACGAGGAAAGCACTCAAGAAAAGGAAAAAAATGGGAGAGGAAGGTAGGAAAAGGAAATAGCTGGAAGAGAAAGGAAGGGAGAGATTTCATAGGAAATGAGTAAAAAAGAAAATGGGTATGGAAGCAAGATGGAGGAAGGATGTGAACACTGGGGGAGAGCAGAGCAAGAAGGAATTTCAAAAGGAAAGCAGAAGAGATTGTGGTTACAGGAAAAAATCCAGTAGTTTGGGTAAACAGAGAAGTAAATGAGGGGAACTAAAATGAGATGTACATAAGAAAATACAATAATAATAATCCTCAATAAAATGGTCACAGGCCATTACTAAGATCAAAGCTCATCCTGTTGCAAAACCCACCCACCCCGGTGAACACCAGGGCCTCCAGCAAATGCAAACTCTGCTCTTCCTTCCACTGCTTCTATTTATGTCCCAACATATCACCCAAAGTTAGCGGGCCTGCTAAAACCAATGGAACTTCACCAGCCTAGAGCCCTCGGTACCAACACCGCTCCCTATCCAGGCAGATGGTTTGCTCTTTTGTTTGTTTGTGGGGTTTATTTAGTTGTTCTGTTGCTACTATCATTAACATCCCAACTCAAGCCCTGGAGCTAAACGAACTAGCAAAACTGACACACTGACAACTGAGATACAAAATGTTCTTACTGAAGCTGAAGAAAGTACTCAACATAAGTATAAAAGAACAAATATTGTTTGGGTTTTTTACAACTATTACTGTTTATTTTCAGTCTCTCACACATCTGGATTAATGGAATTGCTCCAGAATACACACTTATGAATGCAGTTTTTTGTATGCTAAATTAAATAAATTCATGGACATGTATTTGTAAAAACTATTTAGCTTTAGATCCCTCTTTTCAGATAAGCATTACTTCCCTTTTGCGGAAAGCTAGCAAGGCATAGAATGTTATAAAAAGGCGTAGACAGTTAAAAAAAAGTCCTTTAAATTATTAAACTAGACAAAGCACACAGACACAAGGAGCCCCCAGAAAAAGTTCTCGTTCTGAGGAACATGAGGCAGCCAGTATCTTTAAGAATTGCAAACGAGCACAAAGCCTTGCTCTATTACAATCCAGCTGAATCTCTCAGCTGGAAAATAGGAGCTCTTGCTATCTACAACATATGGGGTGCTCTGGTACAGCAGTTTTACTTATCCGATAGGTTACGTGGCAATGGATTATGTAGTATCTGCCTAATGGAGAAGCTGAGACTTCCTGGACATGTTTTATTCATGCTTCAGTAGATAACATGTAGTAATGAGTAAAGATCTCATCTTCAAAAAGTCAACTCTGCAGGTGATGACTTCCAGTCAAAGAGCAGAGTCCTCTACGTGGTCCCACCACAGATATCTAGCGGAACCACTAAGTTAACTCAAAAGGTGTTAAGTTTTACACTTTTTGAGATTTAAGCACTCTATTATTATTCATCACATTAAAATCGTCGTAAGAGGTGCCAACACTGGGGCTCAATTTGTTGCTCCTACTGTCAAATTTTGTCAACATGATCCATGTATTTTTTCTATAAATACACCAGAAACTCAAGAATTAAAAAGTTAGAAAATCCTCAGTTGTACCTAAGAGGGACTATACAGTTTGAAGTATATAAACTCTTCTTTCCAAGCAAGCCAGAAGAGATGTGCTAAATAGACTTAGCTTTAGAAGTCTGATCATTTACAATGCTCTGTTTTAAAAATAAGGAAATAAATAGGAAAAACAAACAAACAAACAAAAAAACAACCCAAACCCAAAAAAACTCACTATGCTGTGGAACCAAAGTGTTCCATGTCCTTTGTGTCACTAGCAAGGCAGAAACCTGACAGATTGCTGCCCAAATCACCCTTCAGCAGAAACCATGCACCAGGATTCCATGTAAAATTTTAAGGTCTGGCTGGAAGCTGCAAGCAGCAGAAAACAGGCTCTCTACCCTTAGATAGGGTTAGCCATAAGCATTACTGCTTCCATGCTCCACAATGTAAGCTCATGAACCAACAATATCTTAACTACATAGTACTTTAAGTCAGATTCTCATGATGTCCCTTTTTGTTCAGGAGATAAACTGATCCATAAGAAACAATACCTTCAATTTAGCCACTCCCTTCAGCTTGGACTTACTAGTTTTGAGTCAGTGATTTTTTCCTGGGTCAGGTGATGTAGGACAAAACACAACCATCTCCAGATGCCCTAGGACATCCAAAACCAAGGATTAACCAATGTGCCTCTTCCTCCAGGCGCATCTTCAGACTACTGACAAGCATTGTTCCTTCAAAAAGCTGTTGCTCCTTCAGTGATTGACCATACTTGCAAAGGAAACTTGCTTTGCATTTCACTATGCTTATAGACAAAACACAATGGAAAGATTCTTTGCATAAGTTTAACATGTAGGAGTCCTTCTATAACCAGATCAAGTTAAGATATAGATATTTGAAGACTGACATTTACTAAACCCCCACTCTTAAGGCAAGGAAAAGGCATCCAAATCCCACTAAGTCATACCTTGTGTTTGCAGCTGCACAGTGGACTCCAC